CTGCAAAAGGGGGTAGGGAGTGTGTGGGGGGGGGGTCTTCCCCCCTGCTAAATTCATGAAAATAATTTGTGATAGGTTTTAGAGCTAAAATTGTTCTCAGCACACTAAAAAACATTAAAATGGTGCCGAAAAATAGTCTAGAATGTGTTTAGACCTTTTCTATAAATTTACAGGTGGCCTTTTGACCCTGGCAACTCAGATTTTTTACTCGACTTCTATTTTTGTGCACAAATTTCTATGGAGCTAGGCCGGGACCACTTCTCCCGAAGAGTGCCAGACGCTCTAGCCTACGAGGTCAGGATAAAGTTTGCCACATCATAGGCCACTATTTATGAATTTGACCCGCAATTTACTATACATATATGTCATTTCTTCATAAGGGCCTGCGCGCTTTCCGGTCAAAGCAAAGATTCTCTATATTAGTCTTTGGTCGAAGTAGGTTGCTCTCTCTCTATATATATAGAGCCAGCGCGCTCCCCAGGTAGCGCGGCTCACGCCCTATATGTGGCCTGCAGGCTTCAGTGTTAATTTTGCCCAAGCCTATGCTTTCTGATTTCGCCACGTTTTGTCAGGTTTCAACGGATTTCGACATTAAGCAGTACCCATTGCATCATTGCAACAGGTGTTTGCAATACATTTCATGACACAGTCACACAGTGACTGACAATACATGAAGCTGCAGCGAGACCCTAACACACCTCTTGATTTGCCCAAATATAGATGACGTATTTCTGTTATCTATTGTTGTCGTCTTCCGGGGTTTCCCCCAAGATTCTCAGGTTTTCCTCGCCAGTAACTGTTGACTAGATCTCGCCGTGTTTGTTTCTTTTGTATTAATTGGTGTTATTTTTTTAAATCAATCACAATCTCAGCAATTCTCGTTCCATAAATTTACGTTCTCCTCAAAGTTGTACACAAACACACACCCATACACACACACACACACACACACACACACACAAGTGCGTGCACGCGCACACACACACACAGCTCAAGCAGTCGGTGGTGAAACCTAGATGACTATACATTGTGATGCATGTTCGTCTACGTGAGTTTACATGTCGTTCATCTTATCTGTTTCAGAATTGTGAACACTACTGATCCATCCGATACTCTATATATAAGCAAATATCTCAAACTCAAAGTTATTTCTGTTCACAATTACTGCAGACTATCCCGTCTAACTTTCTTTCTCAGTCTTTGCCTCTCACATTTGTGGCCTGAAATCACATCTGTATCACAAAGAGGAGGCCTTTCATAATTGTGAACATTGCTGATCGATCCAATGCTCTATAAGCAAATACCTCAAAGTTTTTTAAAGCCAAGTGACATAGTCCATCACGCGCTAAGCGGCAAAGCGGGCTCGCCACAGTGAGATCTAGTCAACTGGCGAGGGAAGCTCCAGAAGACGACAAAAATAGATGTCGGACATACATCATAGATCTTTATTTGGGGCAATCACAGAGGTGTGCTAGGTGCTCGCTGCAGCTTCGGGTATTGACAAATACAGCGAAGCCATGCATCATACCGATCGGCTTTTAGAAGTTTTCTGCGAACTTCATAATATCAATCGGTAAAATTAAGAAGGCCAGCTCTATTTTGACTCGAGTCCAAACAGCCTATAGGTCTAAGTTTTATCTAGGCGCTTCAGACTAGGGTCCGAAAAAAATGTTTTATTTATTCAGACTCAGCTTCTGAGCGAGTTGTGAGCGTAAGGAGGTTAGGCTACATAAACAGAACTGTCGTCGGGGGATTTTACGTAACCAGAATTAGAAAGTCCTACCAACTACTCTAGATCTAGATAGTACTACTAGGACTGTGTAATTGAGTCACAAGTCAAAAGACTGAACTCTCATTGCCCACAATGGCAGTGTCTAATATCTAAGTACAAGGAAACTAACAACACTGGGTCTTTCATATTTCCATCACTGTGGACTGTAGACTACAGCATCATCATCATCATCATTACGGCGCTTTTTCGGTAGTTCCCACCCCGCAATTCTTATTCGCCGGTATTGGCCCCAAGAGTCTATCTAGGGGAGCTTCTGACCTAATAAAAGTACGAAGTGACTATTTCTCCGAACGTTTGGAGAAATAGTGCCGATCTTTATTTCTCCGAACGGTTTCCGGCTTCCGGTCTCGTGATTTTTTGCCTATTTATTCATTTGCGAGAGTTCGGCGCCAACTTTCATTCTGCCTCTGGCTCTGGTCTGGGAAGGAACACCACATGGCAAGCCCGCCTACATACAACCTTCAGTAACACCCACCATGCATCCACCACCATCCTGCACATGTACACACACAAACTTATACACACACTAACTAAACATG